AAGCAAACACCAGCATGGCCTGAACCCACACAACAAGATATACGAGAGAAGTTTCCTGCTGAAATTTCATTTAAATTGGAATCACATTCATAGCCTGGAAGGAAAGGATGCCATCTAAAGGGGCCTGGACAAGCCTGAGAAGGGGCCCAAAAGAAATTACTGAGGTTCTACAGGACCAAGGGCAAAGTTTGCACTTGGGTGATGGCAATCCCAGATATGAATACAGATGAGAGAAGAACTTGAGAGAAGCCCTGTGGAGAAGGGCTTTTCCAAATGTCCAATCTGTGATTCCTCCTCCACTCCCGAAGTATTTGTCTCATTTGGAAGTCCTATTTTCCAAATCTTAGGAGCGTGCTCTTGTAAAATGCCTTGTCTCACTTAAGGGTATTATAAAACAGCCCATGCAACAATATTAGAGTGAAACAATTCCTGCAGATTTAAATCTTAGAGTGACCTGAGAGGTAAAACCATTCACTGCCTACTATATTTGCAGCACAAAACAACTAAGAATAATTTACTTCAGAAACACATCTGAAAACATGTGCCCTGGAGTTCCCACAGAGCAATACCTCAACTAATAACACACAGGTCAAGGGCTTAGGAAAGGGCTCATTAAATTTGCTCTGCAGTTTCATAAAGCCTCTATTGATACAATAGTAAATGCACTTTAATTGCCTGCAGACTCAGGAACAGTGATAACTGGCAGAGCCTTAACTGTGCAGCCCAGAACAAAGTCACAATTGAGAAAACTCTGCATTAGCACTGTATCACATTCCTTCTGAATAAAAAACCCCTCACTGCAGGGAGTCATCAGATTTTACTACAGGCCTGCAGTCCTCTCTTGAATTTCTGACCTTTTCATTCTCCATATTTAAAGACAAAATCCATCCACTGTTGTTTAACTAAACATACAAATTCCTCCAGTCCCTTTCAGACAGCCACAGAAAAACAAGAAAAAAATGGAATACAAAGATAGAGAAAGGTGTGTCAGTACTCATATCCTTTTGTCAAAAGCAACACCCACTGAAATGATAAGATCCAATTCTTTTTTCCAGTTTGCTTCAATGTTTCATCTATCCTTGCAATTGGAAATGTGGGATCAGAGACCATTCCTTTCCAGAACAGTGGGTGCAGGTTTGCAACACCAGCCTTTCAGGAAAGGCAAGGTTGATATCTAGTAGCATTGGACAGGAGTAAGCCCAGTTTAGGCACTGCATAGGCCTCCCAAACGCAACCTCTCCCCCCAGAATACCCTGGCCCAACATATAACTCTTCACCTGAAAGACTCCTCTTTACAAGCACGATTACCTAGCTCTCCTCCTGAAGAAACTGAGTATGATGCGAGAAGACATCCATTGTGAACTACATACACATGGCAAACAACTTCTGGTCACTGGTTGATTAAAATCCTGCAGCAGCAATGTTTCTGCACCCCAGGTGCGGTGCCTCCATTGGATGGAGAATGGATGACATGGAGACACACAAGGTCAGGCTGGATGGGGCTCTGAGCATCCAGATCTTACTGTAGGTGTCCTGTTCATTGCAGGGGAGCTGGCCTAGATGACCTTCAGAGGTTCCTTCCTATTCAAACGATTCTGTGATTCATTATCTCTCCTTGCAGAGAAGCACCATGTGTTTCTCACTAGGTGGTACAGGGGACTGCTCTTCTAGCTGAAGCATTGGAACAGCCTAGGAGATCCACTTTACATGGGCAGTCCAGCCCTGCACTTTTCACCTCCCTTCCAGTTTTGAGAGCTGCTAGTGCAAGAGGTCATTAGTGGCTTTTGCTCTTCTGAGAGCCTTTTAGAAAATGAACAAAGGCTTATTTTAATTCCCATCCTGGCTTCTCTCCGAGATGAGCTCTCTGCACTGAAGAACTTGGCAGCAGTGGAGTAGGACTGACTTCCTGCCTGTGAACGCTGCCTCATTAATTACTTCCTCTGTTGCACATCTCCTGACAGTGCTTGGTGTGCAGCCTCCTCTGTGCACATGCGGGTGTGTACCCATTATGAAAGCAGTATCTAATACTTTCTCCCTCTTTCAGTTCTTCAGAAAACTCTGAACTGAGGAGCAAATCCCTTTTTAAGGATTTCTCAACTCCATTATTTGCTCAGTGCAGCACACAAACACATGAAAGCAACACTCAGCACTGAAGTTTGATGCAGGGCAAGTTTGCATACAAAATTCCAAGACAGTGTGCTGAGAAATAGACACATACACATTATAATTCCCATTGGTGGACTGAAGATGCTTGGCTCCCATTGCATCCCAGGCTCTATACCTTGGTGCAGCAAGATGGGGGTTGATCTGTTCAGCAGAGAGTAAGCTATAGTCTATATGTAAGGTCCACTGATGCCAACAGGAGAACTACTTTGGACCTCTCACCATTGATTATGTGCCATCCAATGAGAATATTCTGGTCTGAAAGATAACAGATAGAAAGTGTGCAACCATGTGAGAACACCTGGAGCATCACTTCAAGCTGTCAGCTTACGGACTGGGACTGGAAATGACATTAACCTTTACTTTCCAACTCAGTGTCTCTTTCCTAAGTGCAGTAAAAAAATTCTGATCTTAAAAGGTGTGAGAAAACAGAACAACTCAGTCCTTCACACTGTATGGAAATACAGCATTTATGCACTGTAATGTCACATCAATGCCTGACCAATTGTTTCTGAAGCACTTCCTGCAGCCACTGATAGCTTCATTCAATCACCAGATGCTTTTGGCTTCTATTAGCACACAGCACAAGGACCCTGAGAGCAGTGACCAAAAACACTTCATGCACCTGCAAAGCACACAGAACAGACTTCGCTGGATGAAGAAGATATTCAGCAGAATAGCCAGGAAGAGAGCTCTTAAATGGGTCTAGGAGAGGTGCAGCCAGGCTCGACCCTTCCAGCAACACAGATGAATTGCCTTCACCTGTGCTCCCAGGCTGACTCAGTGCTCATCTCAGGTGATCAATCAGAGGTTCAGGCTGTGATTCAGCAGTTCCCATACAATAATAAACCATAACAAATGCATTATTCCTGAGGAGCTGACGTGAGGGTGGGAGAAAGACTGGCATTCAACAAAACAGACCAATTCTTCTGGGCTAACCTGGTTAACCAGGACAGACTGAATACTCACCTAAAAAAACAGAATTTAAGTGCTTGTGGCAATTTTATTTTAGGAACCTGAATGAGTAATTTTTTGAGATGTGTGGAAATGGGGTATAAAAGTGTGTGCTGCCATGCCTGTGCTCTGATACAGGAAAGCACAAGCAATTGAGCCAAAGGAAGACTAAAACAGAGCCTGATCAGTTGAATTTAAGGCATCCTTTGCATTCACGTGGCTGCAAACCATGAAGTCTGCCGTATCTCAGGAATTAGAAAGCTGTGGAAAGAAAGAGGTCCCATGAAGCACAATGGCCATGTGCAATACAGGCAAGTGGATTCCATCTGCAGGTTTGTATGCTCAGATTCAAAAGAACACGTAGAAGCTGTGAGGCTGCTTCAGCTGTACCTATATCTCCTTTAGAATAAGAAAAGCAACAGAAAAACCCCAAGCCCCCAGCAGTATTCACCAGTGAGGTCTAACATGATGCTGAGAGTCTTGACAAGTGGTGTCACTTAGTGCTGGAAAACAGAATGTCTTTCATTCTTTCTCAGCAGAGCTGGAAGGAGACTAAATCAGTCATTACATACGCCTTCATTCCAAACCTGCTCTCATTTTCTCCACACTGAAATGCTGTAGCAGATTTTACACCTCAAGTGGAAAAAATGCAAATAATGACTTCAGTTAGGCAGTATGGGTGCAAGCTAAAGCTGTCTGTTCCCAAAGAGAGTGAGTTTCTGCTAGAGAGGAAAGTGTATTGCTGTATTCAAGAGACACAAAACTGTCATTTCTTAAAAGGGACAAGTGCTCAAGAACATTATGTTTGCCACATGATCACTATTTGTATATGAAGGTGGTGTAATTAGGAAAAAAAAGCACTTTTTGCCTTGGAAACCTCACAAAAATGATTGTGCTGCACAAGGCAAAAATTCCCAGTATCCCATTTCCAACAGTTGGCACTGGAAGACACAACGTGAGCACAGGAGCACTGAGTCCTCTGGCAGTCGCAGGAATCAAGGCTTGCTGAATTACACCACCAACGCAGTGATGCATTCAAGGCAAAGGCCTTGATCCTGTGTTCCTTGCCAAGAAGTGACCTATTTGCCTCAGATGGAAAATGTTTTCTTTCTCTTAGAGCATTCACTGTTTGATAAAACTGATATTTATTTTGCAGTCTTGTTCCTAGGAGACTTAAATATTAAATAAAGGTCAAGACCTCTACTAGTAAAATATCATTTTAACATTAAACTAATGAGAAACTGGACCAACTTTCTTAGCAAAAAATTTTAGCTTGTTTTCATATCTGCAGTGATTAAAAAAAAGCCTATTAGATACAGATGCTTACACTCTGCCCTGCTCTTTAAGTATCTGTATCTGGGCTTCAAGTATGAAAGGACCCATAAGGATCATTGAGTTCAACTCCTGGCTCCATCTTAACATTTTCTAAATTATTTAAATGTTGCAACAGAAAGGTTTTGTCATCAAAGTACATACTGGCCTCCAGAATAAGAGTGCAGTTAACAACTCCTGTGTGTTGTGTCACCATTGGCAGCATCACTGTAGGCGCAGACTGGCAGAAAAAGCCGCAAGAAATGCCTCTTAATCACTGTCCACTGGACAAGTAGACATAGACATCTCCAGACCTGGGATGCTAGTTCTAATCTGATCTGTGCATGCAGATATAAGGGCCAAGACGATTACTGAAGGCACAAGAGCTTTGCTGTATTATGGCACAGAAAACACTGCATCTCTGTGCTCACAGGCTCACCTCGAAAGGAATTAAACAACACCTTCACACATCAGGGTGACTAAATCGGGACTACTATCAGTGTACCAAACACATCTGTTGTTAAATGCCACCATCCTACTGAATCATTTCAAGTTGGTGAATGAGAACTTACACAATGTGTGCTGGAGATGATGACAGAGCTGGAGATGAAGCTTAGACCATCATTCATACTAACTTGAAGAGCTGCCTCCCTGAAAAAACACCAAATAAATAAGTCAGAGCTGTCTGTCCACAATCCTCTTCTAGACAACATCCTCTGGAACTTGGACTATAGGATCAGCAGCAAAACTTTTCCCATTTGAGGTAAGAATGTTTTTCTGTCATTGAGAGGATAACTGACTCTCCCTCTCTGTGCTTATATGAAAAAGAGAGAAATGTCTGTTGATGCACAGAAGACCTTTTCATGGAAATCCCACACAGAGGACAAAAGTCTTGTCACACAACAATTAATAAACCACCCTGAGTTGAGATAGTTTCAAAGAGTGCATCTAAATCTATTGACACTAGCAATGCAAATATACCATAGCCAGTTTTTGTACTCAGATGTGCCATACCTGATAAACTCCAACCAATGACAGCAAACAATGCCCTGCTCTAACCTAAAGAATTATGTTCTAGAAGCTATGAGTTCCTCAAAGGTGAAACATAAAAGACAATGTTAGAACTAGCTGCACCTAAGAACAACGGAGTATACAGAGATGAAGCAGGCTGTCATTTTCTCATGGCAAAGAAAGTATTAGAGTATATAGGAAAAACATACATGCCAACTTCTCGTAGTACAGGTGCTGGGCAGAGTAAATAGGTATCTTCCACAACAAAAGGCTTCTCATCTGGGTAAAAAAAAAAACAAAAAAACAAAAAAAAAACAAGACAGATATAAAGGCTTATTACCAGATCAGTAACACAATACTTAAAGACAGCTTAGTTATAAATATATATATATATAAATATATGTATAAATACTGTTTTTCCTCACTTGTGATGTCCCGCAGCAGGGCACAAAGCATCAGAAGCCCAGCACTGTCTGCCATCCCCATTCTGTAGGCAACATCCTCCCCATTCCTGCAGCCACTGGTGCTGCTGAAGTCCCCCTCGCCCCACATCTGAGTCACAACAGAACTGAAGACCCAAAGCTTTCTGAATGTACAGAGCAAATCATCACAGCCCCCCTGTATAGGGGGCCTGGATGTAGAATCACATAATATTTCAGGTTGGAAGAGACCAATAAGGACCAACAGGTCCAGTACAATAAATTATGACTGGAAACAGCTGGGTGAAGAAAACTGTATGTTATGGAAAATCTCACAACTTCAAGGCAGAATTGTCTGAACATAAATTAAACCTTCTTGCCTCTTCTACAGCTTTTAAATCAGAGTGAAAAAAAATAACAACTGGAGTTTGCCTTGGAAAGATGAACATCAGACAATGCTCTTTTCTAGACTTAGAATTTTGTACTGTCTCTCTAGTCACCAGAGAGATGGGGATCCTAAGGAACTTCCCGGCCCATTTGCCAGCTGACCAGACATCAGGCAGGTTGGCAGAAAACCAGTCAGACAGGCTGGTTTCTTTTACTTTTGGCTGGAAACCACACATTCCTACAGAACAGTTTAATTCTGATGAATCAGCAGCTTCCAGAAGTGTGTCATTGCATTGAGAAGCTTTCTTCCAGCTGTAGTTAGAATCATCTCTAAAGTCTTCTCTAGATATGATTACATATATATTAAATGAGAGCAGTTAGCAAATATTGTCAGATGTCCTAAAAATCTCCTCTTAAAATTTCAATTTTGTTTGAAACCCTGACAGATTTAAACCCCTATCATAAATTCAAATCATAATCTCATCTTTATACACTGCAAGATGAAGGAGTCCTTTCCATGGCACCATGTTAAACAGGAGAATAATATATCACCATCTTGCCTTCCTGTTTGAAGTACAAAACCAGGGTCTACAACCAAGAAAAACAACTTCACAACCGTACAGTGCACTCACTTATCTTCCCAGTGAGCATTAACATAGGCAACATAGAAGGAAGATCAGAAACAGTGTTCAGTGCCTAACTGGCACCGTTGACAAATAGGATGGAAAGGAGCAAGAATGAGAGTTTAGCCAAGTTGTTTAGCAATCTAACAAATAGCTGAACCGGTCTATTTTGCTTGGTCTTTTGTTTATGAGCTATAATTCCATTTAAGGTGCCAATGGAAAGAGGAAAAGCCACAAAGAGACAAAAACCAAAGAGAATGCGGTATCTGCTTGAAAGAAGCATCAGCTGTGAGCCCTGTTCAATCTTGGCTGCTAGGAGATTTATTCACATGGACAGTAGCAGTGGAGCACAATAACCCTAATGCTAACTCCAATATCAATGCTCAGGCAACCCCAATGTTAAAACTACCCTAATTATAACCCTAATCATAACTCTAACCTAACTGTAACCCAGCCCAACTCTAACCCTGACAACACTGGCTCCATTCTTGATGGATAGAGCTCAACAGGTCTCACTCAGAAGCAGGGCTATGCAGCACATTTTACTGCAGTGAATGAAGCATGTAGGCAAGATGGAGGCTGCAAGAGTTTGTCCCCTCGATGCAGAATGCAGAATTGCAGAAACAAACAATATTAGTAGTAGTAATAGTAATTCCTATTGCATATTATAATCCCTACTTCATACTGGTCTATTTCTTGACTTTGACAGCAAAATAAAATATGATTTCCTAGAGCAGGTGAGGGAATGTTTACTTTCTACACTCCAAAGAATAAAACGGTAGTGAAAAACTGTAGCTTTCGCTGAAGTTTTCCTTATGTTTCCAGCTTCTAGCAAATCCCATGCCTATACGCACACACTTGAATTTTTGCATTGCCTACAGTATTGCTTTTTTAAGGGCTGTTGACACACAGGCAAACAGCTGAAAATGAAACATCACAGCCAGCTACACAGTTTGCACAAATAGGCTTCACTTCTGTATCATGACTCGGCTACTGAGAGCAGCCTTCAAGCTTCTGCGATCCCTCTCGATCCCTGCTCCTGCTCTTGGCCTGGAAAGTACCATATATTACTTCTGCTTTCCCACAGCCTTGCTGCAAGAACACGTACTAACATTTCCACTACACTAAGCATTAAGAGCAGATGTTTTTAGCATGGGGTTTTCCTTTGCAACCCCACACCACTGACAAGGCAACTCTCTCTCTGAGAGCCTGACAGACAACAGGTATTTAAAGCACACTGTGATGCTCACACTTCACATAACCTACAGCATAGCACTCGATTCATGGGGAGATCCTATGCAGGGACTCAGTTTTGCCACAGAGTAGCCAAGCAAAGCAGTAGCATTTACCACTGACTTTGCCCAAGCATGGAGGATGCACATGGGTGGTGAGCACAGCACCTTCTGGCACTCTGGTGGTCTTCTCACCCTCATCTATGAAGGTATAATTAACTCCCATAAGTTGTCTCAGTGCACACACAGAGAATGAAGACCAATGTCTTGTTTTCTCCTTTGCTAACACCAGCAGCCAAGGTCAAGGAATGCTCCATGCCAGCACTCACTAAAACGAGATCTGGTTTAATTTTGCACTGGAATTCCTCAGCTTTTTGTTTCTGTTTCTCTCCCTTTCCATCCCCTAACTTGCATTATATCTATGCCTCTCTAGAAAGTGCATCAGCCTCATGGCTGGCAGGGTTTGCCACAGAGAGAGATTATTTTGTTTGGAGAATGCTTGTGTTTCACCACAAAAATGAGTGACTATTTCTTAGCTCTAAACAAAAGAGGATCCGTTCATTTTGCAAAACTCTGTCCATCCAACTCCTTCCTGGAAAACTTACATTGAGAAACCAAACAAAACAACATTTCTCATCTGCAATCGTGCCTCTATCTGCAGGACATATTTGACAGGATGCTTTTTTTTTTTTTTTTTTTTTTTCTTTTGCATGCTGCATAAAAGCTTGCTGTATTCCTGTGCAGTAAGAGATGGGCCCAAATGCTGAATGCTCCCAAGCTCCAGATCTCATGCCAAAGCTGAACTTGTGGTTTGGAATCCTATCAGCTGACGATGCTGGTGGAGGAGCTGGGAAAGCAGGGGCCACTCCATGTTACTGATCTTGCTGCACAGAAAGCAATTTCCCTTCTCGGCTCGGCCGCTAGCTGGCCTTGCAGCTCTGCAAAAGTCATCTAGACTCTTTTGCCAGATTCATAGAAATGCATCGCAGATATCAGTTATGGGCAGAGCCTCAGGATGTGTTGCAACACTTCGCCTTTGAGAAAGTCCACCTACAGAAAGGAATGCCTTACCTATCCACCCCATATCACCTCATCAAGCAAAATAAGGTTCTCACTGCAAAAGAAGTCCATAGGACTCACAACATAAATGGGTAGCTAAAAGTAATAATCACTTCACAGCTGTGTGCAGAAACAGAAGGGTCAAACATCTCCCCAAAATACGCGCTTTCTATAGATTTCAACAAGGTACTGTTTCAACAAGGTACTTTCTATTGCTCAAATCCCCGTAATTCACTATCCAGCATTCCTATACCTTTTAACAGCTATCTGTAGCCTGTAAAATCTATTAGTCCTAGCATTAGTGTGTAGTTTCTTTTGCCATTAGAAGGGTGTAGCCTTTTGGCAAGCCAGGACTTGGAGTACTTCCCAACTATAATAATAACAGCTTCAATATATGCATGATTTTTTAACACAGAAGAGCAAAACTAAACCAGAGGAATAAAACCCCAAAGGTGACAAAGAAAGATAGTATTTCTGCCATATAAACATGCTGAAATTAAAACAGCCTTTTCTTTGGTTAATGGCTCATCCAAAAACTAATGAGCAGACTGAAAAATGACTGCAAAGATCTCTTAGAGAAAGCATGAATGTTTTCAGATTGCCATCTCAACAGTATCAATGCTGACTGTCAGGCTTGCAATGTCTGCAATATTTTAGTTCAGGAAAGGCTGCAAAAGCTGTTTGACAAACTTTCCATGCATCACAAGCCAACAATTTCCTTCTGTTATTACCCTTGTCAAATAAAGGAGTATTTGTGATTTGTGTTTGATTGAAGTGCATCTCCAAATGCTCTGATCTAGTCTTCTGCATCTGCAGGAAAGATGACGCTGGTCTCTGTTAATCTAATACACACAAATCAGGGGAATCTGGCTGCTCTCATCGATTCCCCGAGGAACGTCTATGCTAAGGAGGTTGTCCTCCCTTTGGTCTTCAGTCCACCTGAGACCAACCTTTGGAGCAGCCTGCCCAGGGAAGTGGTGGAATCACTGTCCCTGGAGATGTTCAAGAAAAGGTTCAATGTGGTACTTAAGGATATGGTTTAGTAGGCAATATTGATGGTAGGTGGATGGTTGGACTAGCTGATCTTAGAGGTCGTTTCCAGCCTCCAAGATCCTAGGATTCTATGACATAGGTAGCCCTGAGCACTTCCACTGTTCCTCTGGAAACTCAAAATACTTCTATTATTCACTGCACCAACTACCAAAGCCCAATCTCAGTTCATCCTGGCTGACTCTTCTTATGCCACTCCTTGTGACAACTCCACAAGCAAAGTTTTTACTTCAGATCCACTTTGTGGGGAGGCAGGAATGCAGAAAGACATTGGAACACTGAAGGGCCTATGAGAAGGCCCATAAATAAAGAGAGAATGTTTTGTTAATGCTGTAACGAAAACCACATTGAGATCATGCTATGATTGCTCTGTTATGGGTAGGGACACACAAGCTTCAAATGCCAAAGCCAGAGCTGAGAACAGAGGATGGGGGGAAGAGAGAGATAAGCACATAGCAGTGATATCACATTCGTAATCATCTCTAGATGGAGAAAAGGGATCTGGAAGG